ATGTCTTTAGTTCCTTTGTATTTGGACGGCTTCAATTTTTTTTCTTCGGCCTCTCGAACATGTCACGCCATCGATTAGTTTATTATTGTCAAAATTGTGCGACAAAAACGATTTAAATCCGAGTGCGGTTTTTGTATGATGTTCGATGATATCAAGAGCATTGATCAATTCACCAAACGTATCACACCGAAAATGATGGCTGATAAATTGGTTGATTGATTTTAGTCAATAATTAAACTTATTACGCTTATTAATTATGAATTTGTTGCGGGAGATTAGAAAGACAGTGAATAAATTGTTAATCGAAGTCGGAGCTTTGAAATGAATAAAAAACACAACAACATTCAATGCGTCATTAGACATATTGGAACAAATGTGCTAAGTTTTGTGCGATTTTTATAGGTTTTGGGGTGGCGACATCAGTGGCGGCAGCAGCTGTTCGAGAGAGCAAGCTCGAGAGCTCTGACTTTTTGATCTGTGTAAATTAAACTGGGGTCTTAGGTCACGCAATATAATTTATATACATTTCCTAAATGGCATGCAAGCAATAAAGTTTCATAGGTCAATTTTATTGTTCATTTTGGTGTCTCATTTTGGCGTGTGACGGACTCTGTAACATCATTTTCATGCTTGCTCGCACTTAGTTGGTTTGGTTGGTTCGATTGTCATGCCACTGAACAGATGAGCTCCATGATTCGATTTGTGTCGCAATTTCGCATTAAGCGACACCAATCAGAAAAACCAAAAATACCACTGGAAACATTTTTCTTCTTGCGGCTGCTTGATGACACTTAATACGATGTGTGTGTGTGCGCGACTGTCTGTTATATGTCTCTGGAGGTGTTGCTATGTGCATGTTTGAAACACGGTTCCGACCACCAATTTTGCAAAGAAAGAGACAGAAACAGAGCATAATTGGGTCATTTCAAGCGAGTATATGCCCCAAGAATCCATTCAATATCAGCAGTTGAGTGAACAACATTGTCTTCTTGTTTGAATTCACATAAAATATGCTACTTACCAGATTTCATCCACCAATGAACTGCCATCACGCACAACATTGTGATGATGAGAAGAGGAGAGGAGGATACAAAGTCTCATCACAATGGAAACTGATCTAGTCAAATTTTTTTTTCAAAAATATATGATATTGAAAGTGTTTATAGTGAAATAGACATCAATAGCTCGTCGATTGACCTGATAGAATCGGCTGAAGCAAACTAATGGGAATGTTATTGCTTTCTTCTAGGCCTTAGATGGGACAATAAAAAACGAAACCGGTGCAATTATTTGCATTCAAATTGGTTTTTATATTATTTTTATATTTTGGCTACACTGAACAATGTCTCGTTTTTTGTGTTAAAAGAAACGGACACAATGCATCTCAAACAATCGCCTGAACAAGACGATTGCCTTCATGATTTTGCTTAAATCAATAGCTAATCTAGTGGAATATTCGTTTCTGTTTCTGTGAACCTGTTGGAATTAATCATGTGCTGTTTTTAATGAACAAAATTTTACTTTCAGTTCCATTGTTGGAGCTCTCACTCACTCTAACCCAATGCAAGTAGGCAATTGAAAGTTGTTCCGACGGAATAAAATAGCAGTCTATTGATATGTGTTACTCGTGACATTAAAATGAATGAATCTGAATGAAAAAACATGGTTAATATTTCACGTTGTGTGAACAGTAATTAATTTTCGATAAAAACATTTTTTTTTGCTTTGTTCACCAACATTTTTAATTGTTTTGATGAAAAAGGATAATAAAATGATGCACATAATCGCAAAGACCTTTAGCGTTGATTAGCCGTGAGATGAAAACAATAGTCAGTGTTCACAATTCTTTAAATAAACACCAAGCGTAAGCGAGTCTTGTGTGCACTTGGGATGTGTCATCACTTAATCAACGTTAAACGTTTAAGCGGAACTGTCCACAGTGAGTATTGTGATATGGCAGATGATTATGGCTCATTGATAAAGACCTTAAATTGTCCACTTTTTGTGCTTGGATGATGTGTCGTAAAATTAATTATTTGATGGATTCAATTAAAACTCTGTCGGCACTTCACTTTCAACTGTCGTCAACGATGCTGGTTTTTTTCTTCCCATTCGATGCGAAGACGTCGTTCAATGAAGCCAAATCAAATGTCACCAACAGATAGAATGAAAAATTCATTGAAGTTTCAATGGTCTTAAGCAAGAACAACTTCTATTCGATGAGGCCAAAGAATGATTCAAGTTTTACGATTGATTTCTCTGCTGGTTTTCCTTTCTTCTTCGAATTGCTATTTTAACATGATGAAGAGCAATTGAAAATACAGAGAAAAAACCGTAGGTGGTGCATTGAAAAGTAATTGGTAATCATGTAATAGAAATGGGTCCATTATTCTGGATGAATTGCATATATTTTCGTATGAAAGTGGATGGTCTTGACAATGCTACCGCAAATGGGAGCGCAAACAAAAGCAGTAGCAACAGCAGCAGCACGGCACCTTCAATTACACGTAACTTTCGATCATTGAGATTTTTTTGTTTGTGCCCGCGTCAGAAATGAAAACAAATTAGCATAAAACTATGTGACGCCATCGATGTTTATCTGTGTCTCTCTGTTATGTATGTTGTCTGGCATTTGTTGTTTGTTCAAACTCTATTCGAAGTCGCGCGCGCATCTTGATGAAATTGTTTTGCAGCATCGAAAAAAAACTTCTTCTTCTATACCAAATAACAAAACCACGTTCAATAGACACACATTCGTGTGACTTCACTCTCACTGAACAAACTACACAAAATTCGATGTTATGATTTACAACCACACTACACATATCGTTGTACAAGCGCGCATTTGTCATTCTCTCGAGTCCGAGCTGTTCCGTAACCGTTTCTCAGTTAAATGGTCCAGATGATTGTGGGTGAGATGAATTGTTCGATTAGCATCTCGTTTGAAATCTCACTTGAGAACGAGTGAGATAGAAAAAGAGAAATAAGTTGCTTGATTAAACAAATGTCAAAATACGTTCGCTCGGATGCGTTGAGTGCTATTATTTTAGAAACCTTGAATTTTTGCCCTTAGTCTTAGTGGGTTACGAACCAACCAACAGCATCAACATTGCTGGCCAAATTGATGGTGTGTTGCAAACGAAAAATTATTAGATGCAGCACTTTTTTGATCAATCATCGCGGGATGTCTACTGCATATTTGAATCGGTAAGAATAATCTTGACCTGCCAAATTGATTGAAAATAAATGTGAAACATGGAGTTTTTTTTTATATGGAGTTGTTGTTGTAAAGTCCATATAAAAAAAACTCTATTTTTCACATTTATTTTCACTCAATTTGGCAGGTCAAGATTATTCTTACCGATTCATTTCTTCACCTCTTCTGCTACTGGTAATCTTTTGGCATTTTCGTGCGCTGTTCACATTTTACAGTGCAATTCCCAAGAATTTTTACGTCATTGATGGATGCTGCACGGTTTTCATGATTAATGAAATTTACTCAACTTGATTTACTGCAGTTCCGCGGTCACATCGCACATATATAAATATCTAGATCGTTTGCGATAAAATGTCTTCTGGTGGGTTTTCCAACGAATGTAATTCAGTTTTGTTATTTGGTTATTGGCAGAAGTCAGAGCGTAAAACACAAAAAAGACATAGTTTACGCTCGAGTTTACTTCATTGATTTTGAACAGAAACCGTAGATTCAATTGATGAATTAATTACATCGATTTCCATCATATTCGGTCTTTGGGGCCGTCATATTCAAATATTTCCATCATATTCAAATTAAGTTTTAATTCAAATTTCATTTGGAGACAATTAATTGTACGAAAATGCAACATGAGATGAACCTGACAAGCGATGACTAAAACATGATTGATGTTCATTTTCACCACAACTTTCATAAGCTGTCCGATTCAATCATTATTTCTACGTTTCCTGCAATTTGTAAATTGTGCCGAAAGAGCAGTTGCAATAATCAAGCGAGATAAACATTAGTGTAAACATTACTTTGTTTGTGCTGTTCAATTAGAAATAGCAATTTACAATTTATTCGAGAATATTTTTCGGTTTGGCAATGCATTCACGATTTACACGCTAGCATAAGTTCAAATTATCAATAGATAGAGCAAATATAATTGTGATGTTTCTGCTGCTGCGGCTGCTGACCCAGATGCATGGGAAAACCAAATTTCGTAATACTTTTAATTGTTTTAGCGTAAACACCGAAAGTACTTCGGTACGTTGGCTCTTCTCTCGATCGATTGGCTTAAAATCCAAAACGTCTAACCACATCTTTGATCAGGCACAAATACACTGGATTTGATTTTTTTTGTATTATAATTTCTTGCTGAAGGATGCTCGGATCAGCCAAGTTGTATTCATGATGGTAAATAATTAATTTATTTTGGTGAGTGATTGTCGTTGAGGAGTGGGTGATCTCTCTCTGTCCCATACTGGTGTGTATGTGGACCGATGAAGATTCTTTGAGACATTAACAACAAAAATAACAACTGCAAAGTAACAAAAAGTATCGACCGCACATCTCAGCATCATTGGTTATATGTGTTTGGCCATCACCAAAATTGATGTGCATGCTAAACAAGAAGGCAATCAAGCTGGAGTTGAAAAGACCGGAGAGGGATTTGACCCTCTGTATGACGTTTTGTTGCGTGTAAAGTGATGCAGCTCATGAATGTATTTGTTCGTCTCTCTCATTCTCTCTCTCTCTCTCAAGCTCGAGTGAGGCGTACAAGGTGTGTGTGTATGAATGTTGTGCTTTTACAGTTCCAGTACATGCAAATAATATCGAAAATCTATTAGCGGCACATGATGATTCCGACAAAAGGATTGCGCCAATGTACCGAACAACGGAAAAATGAAGCGAAAAAAAAGAACTTGTAGCAACAACAACAAAATGAGGCATATCGAAAACCATTGGTGCCAGAGAAGTCACTCGAACTCACTTTCGGGTATAAATAACCAAAATCTCTGCAATGAGACACAGTCAGCAATTTGTTTGCGAATCAAAACCAACCACAGTATAACGCATTTTTTCAGTGCAACTAAATATTTAAAAAAAAAACCGTTTCATTTCAGTTTCACCAGAAAACATAGTACACGCAATATTTATCGTGAAGTACTCTTTAGTTGCCGTCACTGTTGATAAATAGAAACTAATTTTTTAGTTAAATAAATATGAAGTCAATTGTAAGTGAACTTTTTGTTTGTTTGTTTTCATGCTATACGTAACATGACGTGATTTGAATTTCCGAATTGTTTTTTTTTTTCATTTTCAAGACGAACCAAATTTGGAATATTCGAAATATCTAATGAAATTAGTTCAAATAGAAATGAAAATATTAAGTGTTACATATTCATATCCAAGTCACGTGCATTTAATTTAAGTTGATACACATATCATAACCGAATTCGAATATGTCAATAAGAAACCCATTTGTTCTGTTCGGTGGTCAAAAGAGTTTTGAATGATGGTGTTTAACGCATTGGATAAGCCAGAACAAGCAAAAGCGTTTGCATAAGGTGCAAATGTTAATAAAAATTCGGTTGAATTGTTGGATCGCGTGCGATTTGAGAAACTGAAACCCATGAACGAACACGAAAAAAATGACCAACAGATTAGAGGAAGTTTGAAAAAAACTCTAAACAAAAGCATTCATTTACCCAATCTATTGGCAAAAAATAAATAAAACCGTTAAACTATTTTTGCTTGGATTATTTTTTGCTGGGACAACTTCAATTTATACTTGTTTCAACCGATTCAACCAATTCAACTAAATCGACTTTTCTGGGAAAATTTGAATAATAACAGTCAACAATGGATCAAAAGAAAGAACGGCTAATTTCCTTTTATTTCGTTCGAAGCATTTAGCAAAATGCAAATTCCTAATTTATGATCTTATCCATATAATGTTTTTTATTTGAGGCTGTGAGAATGAAAATGGCAATATAGGAATAAACATTCTGAAACGCATCAAGAAAAAAAATTCGCAAAAATGAATCATGAGTTCTGAATATGCAAAAGTGAAACATGAATTTACATGGGCAGCATAGGGGGTTCATGGTTCACTTTTGCGTATTCAGAACGCATGATTCACTTTTGCGAATATTTTTTTCTTGATGAGGTTCAGAATGTTTATTCCTGTATTGCCATTTTCATTCTAACAGCCTCATTTCTTCTTCCATTTTCACATCGTAGATCTTAGTAACATTGTTGATTGGCAGCACATTTGCGGTACCACCAAAGCAGCAACAACGTCAATTACGACAAACGGAATTCCAGCAGCCAACCACCGAACCAATTCCGATTATTCGCCAGGAGCAAGAAGTTAATTTTGATGGAACCTACAAATGGGCGTATGAAACAGGTTAGCTATGAAAATTATTCTCGCTCAATTGGGCAACACATTAAGTAGAACATGATCCACAGAAGAATTTGAAAAAGAAAAAATCTATCATAAACTGCTTGCAATAACAAATTCAAATGGAGATTGTTTCTCTTAAAATTTAGGCAATGGCATTAAAGCAGAAGAATCAGGTTTCCTGAAAAATGCCGGCGTTCCAGATCAAGAGGCTCAGGTAATGAAATTTTGAAATAAGAAGGAAAAAAAATAAATGACAGAACAAATCGAAATTGACATTTCGATTATGATCAATGCAAAAATGTCGATTTATCGCATTTTTACTTGCGCGCAGACGAAAACGCGGTTCGCTCAAAAAATTAAGAGGTCGGTGAGATGAAATTTCGTGCCAAAGCAAAAGGCCAGACATTCACAGTTCAATATTTATATGTATCTGCAGGCATTTTTATTTGTTAGACATGCACACACAATGTGTGTAATGTTCGATAGAAGCGTTCTGCCAAATGGCAATTAATATTCGACCATTTTTCGTTGGCTGCACTTCTGATCAGTTCGTCACATGCATTTCGGTGAAGTGAAATCAAATGTCAGAATCGCAATGGTTTTCACGGAATATACCGTTCGAATATCAAACTGGCGACGATGTCGAATAGAAGAAGAAGAAATGAATAAAGAGTGGAGAAAAAAAAGTCGTCTGATGAGAAAACGATGCAATCGAATCAAGCGTCACTCGAAAATGCATATCATACATCAAAGAACGGTGATAGCGAACAAAAGTTTTGGCAACAAGATGTGATGTGATATGTAGAGGCAATAGCGATAGCGCAACTATTGCACAATACCGTTCGTCAGTTATTCGCACTGCTGTCTGGCATAATAATATGCATCTTGATATTGACTCGCTGGCCAATTTAATGAAAAAAGAGAGGAAAAAAAAAATAGTAATTGATTTCTACCTTTGACTTTTCATTTACATTATTTATAATTATAGCCATTTGCTTGAGTTCAGTTTGTACCATATGTATGACTGGACCATAATTAATGCCGTTCGGTTCTCTTTTTCTTATTTTGGCGGCGACGGTGGCGGTGGTGGCGTTTCAATGAATGCACTCATCTCATTACAAAGCCACATTTAAATAAATTAAAAAGCAGTCGATGAACGGAAAAACGAAATGCATTTTAAAGGAAAATTAAGAAAACGATCCACGATGAAGATGACGAAGATGATACAATATGGTGAGACTTGAGCGTGTGAGAGAGAGAGAGAGAGAGAGAGAGAGAAAAGCATACTGTGTAATATATTTGCAAATAAGTAATTATAATAATGATGGTGTTGCATCTAATATGCATATCAACGAATCAAGTCTTTGCAGTCAGTCCAATAGCATGCATTCTACCTCGTTCTCTTTCTCACTCTCTCTCTGAACTTCTGATGCATTCGTGTGCATCTTGTCAAAAGTGGACAATGGAATAACTAGACTAACCATTATTATGCAGAATCGACGGCCCATATCCACAAACATCAAACATGCAAACCCACTAGCACACATTAACGCACTTATATTAATGGATGCACATCAGTTTAAACAATCGGTATACTTTTTTCTAGCTGGAGCTGTCTACCATTGATACTCGTTTAGTCAGATCGCGACAAATCGACCTAAAAATATAATACATTGGAACCATGTTCGAAGCGTGTAATGCGTACGTTGTTACATTGACTACCTCTAGCGCGACTCTCTTCTTTCGTGATCAATCGCTCAAAGTGAAAAAGAAGATATTTGAAAAAGAGCATCCGAAATATTATAAACACGTTCTATGTGTTATGAAGAGTTTGGAGAACACAGTGCTCAATATTGCGCTCAAACGAGTTGTATACGATCGAATCGATCGATGGTCAAGCGAGAAAAAGGTCAAATATCAGTTTTTCGATTCCATCACACACAGAATATGAATGGCCATTTAAACGTTTTGAATATCTCTGTCATGTCTTGCGGCGACCATCTCGAATCCGAATCATTTATGTCAAAATTAGGGAGTTCATTTTACATAGAGAAAAATAATTTTTTTCCCAACATCACATTTGGTGATAGCTTGCGATTTTTAGCAGCACGACATGAATGGTAATCTCGGTTTTCGGTCATGTGACATTACAAATATGTGTTTGGCAATTTCAAGCGAAATATGACCACAAATCAATCGAAATTTCAATTGATTGAACGGGTGTCACCTTGTGTGTGTGCATGACTTAATTATATTTTTTTCTTCGTCTGCCACGACGTGTGCAATCAAAATATTCCACTGATTTATTGCATCCGTCTGCATGGCAAGGTATATTATTAAATAATTGCAATTATTTGGTATGCTACCTCTTCGTTTAATATTCGATTAATACCTGTTTGTTGGCGACGATGACTCATGCGTACATACGGTATCGCTATCATCAGTTTATTTGCATAATGCCCAAGTTATGCGAAACCAATGACTTACTCCGTCGATTGTGTTCCATTCACAGTGATCCATCCCAATTATTATCAAATAGAATTTTTCGACATTTCTTTCTATTTTTGCTCTCGTCTCAAGCAGAATGATGCAAACAATATACAAACATGTGTACGTCTGCGACAAGAAGCTTGAGAAGCTGTTTTGAGTCAAATGTTTCTGCTTTTCATTGGATGTCTAATATGAATACTTGAATCCAATACTAATCGTTTGACTACTACGTACAAAATATTTAGTTTCAGATTCATTTTCGATGTGAATTCAAACAAAATTAGCATTAGCGTGTCTCAATAAAAGCGAACTGAAAAAAAGAAACATAATATACGGGCAACGATCACAATGGCTTCACAACTTTATTCCAATCGAGATGATCAATAATTGTATGCTAAAATATCTGGTGTGTCAATTAACTAAGTTATAATTTTATAAATACAATATGGCAGAAAAAATATTGTGAATGACATCTTAAGCAACATAATCGACCTTATGTCTAGGTCACTGTCAACAGTTCAACACATTTATGTCATTTGCGCGGGGGTATCATTACACTAACAATAACATCATTTGAAAAATTAAATTCGTCCAAAACCTGCTGACACGGAGTGAACGCGCTCACTTAACAAACGCAATGGTTTAGCTGAGGTTTGACAGCTAATGTCAAATCGACTTCTGTTTCAGTGTAGTTTTCTGTTCGAACGCAAGCGTTTTCTCAGTATGGTCCGCAAAATTAAAAATACAATTCTTCCACGAACCAGTTTCTTTTTTGAATCTAACATTTTGTGTTTGTTTTTAATTATGGAATCTCCAATATATCATATAAAACCGTAATTTTCTCTCATACAACTCAATTGAAAATGGAAGAAAAACAATTTTTTTTTAAATACGGGTGTAATCTACCGAAAAAAGCAATTTTTTTGTCTTGTGTGCCAGCGGCATATTTGCACAATTTTATTTGACAGAATCGAAACAATTTTATTTATTTAAAATCCAAATAATTATTATTATTTCACCACAAAACACAATGACGACTATGTTTGGCACTGCATTGAATACACTCATCAATGTAGTTCCCGTCAAGATGTGTGGCGTTGTTGGTTGATGGTCTATCGCGGTGGTCATTTGATCTCAACCGAAATTGCTTTTGTATGTGTTTTTTTTTTTAAATATTCAATGGACGTTTAGAGGAAATACCAGGGCATATTTTAAGGAATTTTTAGAACTACCGTAAAAACAAAAAAAGATGATAATGTGGCAAGGTACACATTTATTTGGAAAATTCGGTATTGCTTCTGAATAATATTGGCTTTAAATAAGTTTTATTGAACATTTTTAGCATCGTTAGAAGTACAGGTGGGCGAATTCGCGAGTATATACTCTCATACTCACTCATTTTGAAAATGAGTATGTCTCGATATACTTTCATACTCATAGATACTCTTTGAGTATGAGAGTATATACTCAGAGTATATACTCTTTGATTTTGAGTATGTACCTACTCATTTTTTACCCAAAGAATAACTCTACACCTACTCTTTTTCCTACTCAAGTATATACTCTTATACTCAAAGAGTATCTATGAGTATGAGAGTATGTCGAGACATACTCATTTTCCGTTTGTATGAGAGTAGGAGTAGGAGTATGAATTATACTCTCTTACTCCGCCCACCTGTAGTTAGAAGCAAAATGTACAGAAAAAATGTTTGAATTATATGTTAATTTTCAACTCTCGGACTTTTCGTTGAGAACTGCCGAATTAGAATTTTGAACTACCGGAATCCGGTAGAATTACCGGTTAAAATATGCCCTGGAAAAACTAGCGTGTTCCGGGGAGATATAACATGTTCAAAGGAGATAATCACTAATGATTATTGACGGATTAGTTTGATGGAACAATGGCCCACCGCATATCCTGTGCTTGCTTTATTTCTAAAGCTAGACATTTTAGTCCACATTAATATCTCGAATAATTTTTATTGTAGGTTGCTCAGGGAAGTTATTCATATACTGCACCGAACGGCCAATTGATTAGCGTCACATATATAGCTGATGAAAATGGATTCCAACCACAAGTAAATTTACCACCTTTCGCTACTTTATTTGAACATTGAACAGTTGCTAAATCATATTTTTGTTTTCAACCATTTAGGGAGATCATTTGCCAACACCTCCACCCATTCCACCTGCTATTCAACGCGCATTGGAGTACCTTGCTACATTTTCATCAACAGAAGACCCATACGCAGCCGGAACTGATCCAAGCTTGCGTGGATAAAGGATTTTATAACGCAATTGGAACATCCGAAACTTGCCATTGCATTTTTAAAAAAAGAAAAAATACACGAAATTCTCCGCGACCTACATTATCAGAGATCTGTATTAGCACATAACGCAACGATAAAAAACAACTTCCCAATTTTTTTCAATTTCGACTGTGATTCCCTGCATCAACATCGAAAGAATTCACATCAACAACAAAAAATTCATTCGAATTCAGTGAGATTCGATGGCTTGTCAATCACCCATTCATAATATGAATACATTTTTCCAGAATAATTATTTTCGTAACGCGTTTGTTTTTCTCTTCCTCTATTCGAAAACAAAAAACAAACATAGAATTCCGATCAAAAATTATTATCTTATCCATATTACACAATAAATTGTTTGGTCCATATTTTTGGATTAAACTATAATCTAAATTTGTTTGAAGTCGATTTTTTTATTCTTTAAAGAAAAAATCAAGAATTGCCCATATTTAATGCATTTTACAATATGTTTATCGTTACCCATATGTTTTCTGTGCGGTGGAACGAAGCCCGCCGCGTTGCACAGACAATATAGTGCACACAGCATTAGCGAGAGCAGTACAGCATACTGTACTGCTCTCGCTCTAACACACACTGCAATGCGTACGTACGAACTCAGCATAGAAGCGTAGAGCGCCAATACACTCACACACACTAGTACGCATGTTACAATGACTGTGTGTCAGTCGTTGTAACATGCGTATAAGTGAGAGAAATTCTCTTCACCAATAGTATTGGCAGGGTTCATCTCTGTGCACATTTATAAACATTGCGAAGGGACTACACCTTACAGTCACATACAACTGAGTGAATTTTAGTCATTTTATTTCCACACGGGAATGTTATTTTTTATGATTAAAAAAAAAAACCAAAAGTTCGAGATCGTTTCTGCCGAAATAGTGGCGTGGTGTCATGACCCAAGCGGCAAAAAATTCGAAGCACTCAAATAGAATTTTAATGTTCATTTGATGTGATTCGCACGCTTTACATTATTAATCTAATGTAATTTCAACTTGAACGGTGTTCAATTAGCAGAAGTATAATCCACTTGAGTAGATAATACAAAAAAAAATGATAGTGTTTACATTTGATACTTCACTGAAATCTCTATAACTCATGCATGATTTTGCATGGCTCTTTCAGAGGTATTAATATTTTCACCACAATATCATATACACTACAGGCCAAAAATATGGAAACGCCAATAAAAATGTGAATTCTATATTTTTTAGCATTTTCAGCTCAAAATTAGGATTGAATATGAAAACTTATTGAAACTCGAATGAAAGTTTTCTTGGGAAAAAAAAAACATTTGACCATTTCGTTTGGATTTTTAGCTATGGCGAAAATTGGCCTACTGCCATACACAAAAAAAATCCAAAGAATGGCCATCGGCCGGCCAAATATTTTCTCAAAAAACTTTCATTCGGTCAGAATTCCAATAAGTTCTCCTAATTTAGAACTGAAAATGCAAAAAAATATTGAATTCACGTTTTTATAGGGGTTTCCATATTTTGGCCTGTGGTGTATATATATAAAATTTAATCGTTTCAACCAAAAAACGTATCAAGATTTATTGTATGTTTCGTTTCATTTTCTGTCTGTGTATTAGCAATATGTTTGCGTTTTCTATGAGAAATATCTGAAAATATCAAGGCTTTATTATGATAATTTCATGAGGTTCAGCATATTATGCATAAACTAATTATCATATTCACGTCATTTAAACATTTTGATGATTTTGTTATTGTTGTTGTTGTGTGTATGGTCAAAATTGTTGGTTTTAGATTTGACTGAATAGAGAATTTCTGTCTCCGTACACTAATAGAGAGTCGTTGTGTGTACCAATCGAATAACAATACGAAAAGGAATACAAAGACAAATAAAAATGAAACGAGTTGCATTTTTATAAAAAGTTTTGTTTTATCATGAGAAACCGCAACCTATGCATAACACTAACAAAACAAAGTTAAACACGAATTTGCGATGAGCTCATTCAGTGAAGTTTATTTCAATTCGTTTACGTCGTTAGGCGCACTCATGAACGCGACTGAATGAACTCATCAACAATGTTCTATAATAAAAAAAACAATTTTTTTTACATATAAAATTGATTTTTATCACTTGCTACGCTCTCACAAAAATCAATTTTGCACATTCGTAACATTTTTATTTTCATTTTTGTCTACTTTATTAACAAATATGAAAAAGATGCAATAGTTTGCAGTAAACATTGAACGATCTGAGTCACAACTTTTGAAACTTGTTTGGCAGCGCTAGAAGTGAGCTGTCAGACGCTTATATGCAGTACCTGTGTGAGAAACAAAGAAATTATAAAACATAATTGTCTCAGCAGGTTATTTCATTTGCATTGCTAATTCCACTAATATCTTGTATTCAAATACTTTGTCTTTCTTGTCACCATCAGCATTCAGTGATGATTAGTTTAGTCTTTTAGTTTAATCAGCTAAAAAAATACTAACACGCTGGCACCACAAAACCTAATTGGATGATGAGACGAAACGGGATAGAGACAACAAAACGATCAATATGTGTACTTGGGGTCGCAATGTTTGGTTTTATAAGGAAATATATTTAAAGATTTGCGTAATCAACCGATGAACAGACAAAATACATCAATAGCGTTATCTTCGATGGTTTAAGGCGCGACTAAGTGGTTGAAATGAAAGAGAAAACATGCTAAAACCCTAGTCAAAACTCAACAAAACTAAACAAGATTACGGATTTCTATCGAATATTTGTTTATTTTTTTATTTTTCTATTGTTGCAAATTCTTGTCACACAAGTTGAGTTTTCTTGGTGATTTTCGAACATTCTCTTATAATGGTTTCTAGCAAATGCGCTAATTTAAGTGTTGAGTCCAATTGAAGATTTGAGGACGAAGCAATAGGTTCGTTTGTTCAGCACACTTTATTTTCTGGGCCGAATTTTGTCTTGACGAATTTTTTACTGTTTTTTTCTCTTTCGAATTTGAAGAAAAATAAAACGATTTGATAATATTCAGACATGACGTGACGTTTAGAACGAAATCATCGCATCTTCCGATGATTTCGATTAAATCTATCGACAGATTATCTGTGAAAAGAATGGATCAAATTTAACACATTTTTTTTCGATTCCATAATAAAGATAAAAAGAATTACATTGGTAATCCCGAACTTTTCCGTACCGTTGGCCTGCGTTGTCCGTAGTTACTTTTGGTTATTTTTTGTGAATTTTCTTGAAATAAAGGCAGTGAAAATATAATAATGAAAATAAAGTGAAAAATCGGTCACTTTCACTAAAACTTCGACAATTTTGTATGAGAGGTACCCGTAAACCGATTCTTATTGGCTTCAAACTTTCTAAGGTTTCATTTTTTGAAGAAAAAATAAGATTCTGAAAGTTTCATGTTGATTGCATTTGCAGAAGTTTGGTTTTTGGCCCTCAATTTTTTCCAAGAAAACTTCGACAAAAATTGATGACAAAAAATCAAACTTCTGCAAATGCGATCAACATGAAACTTTCAGAATCTTATTTTTTCTCCAAAAAATGAAATCCCAGAAAGTTTGAAGCCAATCGGAGTCGATTTACAGGTACCTCCTATACAAAAGCGTCAATTTTTTGATGTTTTTCTTAGGGCAAGTACCCCAGGGTCGAATCGAAAATGGCTCATCTTCGAACTTAAACTAAGTTTATTGGATACAAACATTTTGGCATTTCCAGATTTTGATTATCTCAATTATTTTTTGAGTTATCGTTTTAACAAACAGCTACGGCGACGACGACAACGAAAACGACGGCACACGAACGGAAAAGTGTCTCAAAAACGTGTTTTCTACGCGTTTCATGAGTTTTTATGATGATCTAAGCTAATTTTGCGAAAAAAAGTTTTCGGGACCAATTCCTATACTTTCCCTTGACACGTTGTGTACGGAAAAGTAATAAAATTCTGATCGGTCGTCACCTTTACATCTGGTTCAGGTGAACCTGAAAACTGTTAATCAACATTATTAAATATCGACGCGACGAATTCCATTTAAAGAAGCCATTAAATTGAAGGGCAACCATTACCATGTTCGCTTCTCTTTAAAATCGATTGAATTTTCTGTACGAAATTAATCTGTTGACTTTTATGATTTGATGATGAAATGTTGTCCATTTTTGATGAATATTTAAAACGAAAAATTATTCAAGTTCTCATTTCTAAGAATGCTAAATTGATTTGTATGCGGAAGATTGTTATCGATACGCAAATGGTCAATCATCGTTCCAGTCGATTCATTTGAAATGAGCGAAAATTGTCTATATCCAGCTACCACAGTTGGATAGAGCATATGTTTAGTTTTTAAAATGAGCAAAGAAGTGCCTAGCGGAATGAAGGATCGAATGAGATTAAAAAATTGATTAAAACCAAATGGAAATAGGTAAAAAAGATCACCACATCATGGCAGAATAATAAGTATTTATAGCATGTATACATATAAAAGTAAAGCGAGGAATTGTTGACTTTGAATTGTGCTGTGAAGTAGTTGAAATTATGCAGATATTAAAAAAAATTGTAAAGACTCTTCAAAATAAAACTTTTTATCATTTTTCTGCAAACGAAACAAAACTGTTTGCCGAATTCATTGATTAATATTGTTCCTTCATAAACAGAATAAAATCTATCTACTCTTTGAATGCTCTTAGCGGACAACATTGGGGTTTTCTTTCCATTTTGGATTTAGGAACAAATATGATTCATGGGAATTTAAATTTGATAAAAATTCTTTCGAACTGATATTTCGGATTATTTTCCGACAAAAATACCTCTTGTTTTTTTTGGAAATATTTCTCTCCAAATTGGAACATTTGTCGACAGAATTTGCTTTTTTTCTGATATTTCAAGCAAACATTCTTAGATATATTTCAGCCCAATTGAGTTCATTTTCTTCATTATTTTACGGCAAAAAAATATACCAAATTTAGTTAGTTTTTATAGCCAAAAAAGAAATTTTTCTGACCGTTTTGGGAAAAAAAAATATCACGTTTTAGAACGAGCCTTTAAATTTCTCGATTGTTTTCGTGCTTACCATCAAATGGATTCCATTTTTTTCATTATAATTCAATTATTTACCTCTGTTCTTTTAATGCTGAAGTATGGTATCGAATGAATGTGCATCCAAATTCATCGATACGTAATTTGATTTGTGCAATGGAAAATTTCTCCGGAATGTATATTTGCCTTCGATGATTGGGTTTCTATTCTATTATTCTTCCACGAATGCAAGGTCAATATCGAACAAAATCCTTCATTCAAGGTGCAATTCTATTCAGCTAGGATTATGGCATCTCCTTGAATATTTGTGTGTGTGTGTGTGTGTGTGTTTTTTTTTCTTCTTCCGTCTTCGAAAAGAATTGAATCCAATATTTTGTACTTCCCCATCGACGTAGATTTCGAATGACGAAAACAAATAGCATGATGCAAGCACCAAATTATAAAAAGACGATAGTATCATACTTTGACGGATAAAATCCTTTTATAATGTATGCATATCGATGAATGTTTTGTTTGATGATTATGATTAAATACCTTGTGCACATGCAGCGTTGCAAACAACAAACAGTCGAGAGGGATAGAGAGAGAGAAAATGTTATTAAATCAATCTGCAGGAGATTAATGATTTGCGAGTGTAGAATTTGCAGTTTGAGCGTTGCTTACGCTCAACCGTTTTAGCCAATTTTTATTGATAGTCATTTTTTGGCGCTATTGTTTTTCATATTGTCCGTCGTTGTTTGTCTCACTGTGGTTGACGCTAAAATATTTTCGCTGCTAGATGTGAATACATCACGGATTCTGATTATTGTTATTATTATGATTATTGATTTGTCGACCGTGTGTTTTGATTAAGCTCTTTTGATTCCCCATAATATCTCGGTTCGCTAATTTGAAAGATATGAGAAAAAAATCTTATTCATTTAGCGATTCATATAATATTTTTGGCGATGACCATCGATATTATTGGGTACTATGAATAGCCCATGTAGTAAGCGCTGTAATGTTGACGAATCTTTTTTGTGCCCTACACACGAAGAAGGTGCCGTTTTTTTCCCAGTGGTCTTTGTGTTTGTGCAATACGTGTATATGAAAATTAGATATTTTTGTAAGTAGGCAAAATTTTATGCGTATTAAATATTTGTTGATGATGGAGTGTGATATGGCGTTACTGCTGGCAGCAAACGCTGATTTTCGAGTATAAATATTGGACGCAATCTTTGGTTTGACATCAGAACACATTTTGTGATCATAACAAACACAACAAAACAAAAACCCAAAATTTTCAACATGAAAACCTTTGTGAGTAAACAAAATTTATTAAACAGTTTGATCATTTCTGTCGCACAGTGATTTCTCTCCCGTCAAAGACAAATAAATTTGACAAAGAGTGTGCATGAATTTAATTAAAAAAAAAATCAAAACCCAGTTATTTTGTGTGATTTCGGTTATTCGATACATAGTTCTAGTGTTCAGACAAGGAAGAGTGCTGATTTGCGATTAATAGTCAGATTACTTGGAATGAATTGGCAAATCATAATTCTTTTACATTCGACGAATAGTCTTTGTTGTTTTTTTCGATTAAATTTTCTTGTTGATAAAAATTAAAGTTCAGAACTCACTGTACAGCTCAAAGCAATACTAATCCAAGTGATTTGTTTTCAAAACTGTAGGTAGTACTTTTCGCTTTGGCCGCTGTTACTTTCGCCGCCCCACAAGCTCCAGTACAATCGCAAAACCCAGATGCTACCGCTGAAACTTTGAAGAGCGTCGCCGATGTTGGCCCAGAATCATACAGCTGGGAATACGAAACGTCAAATCAAATCAAAGCCAACGAAGCCGGTCAATTGAAAGATATCGGAACTGAGAAAGGAATCGCCGCTCAAGGCGCCTTTTCCTACACAGCTCCAGATGGCACACCAATTTCACTCTCTTATGTTGCAGATGAAAACGGTTTCCAACCACAAGGTGACCATATCCCAACTCCACCACCAGGTATATTGATCAATTGATAATTGGCCACGGCATATGAATAATTTAAA